CAAAATGGTTGGATCGTTTTGCAACTCCACCAACAATGCGTTAGTGTTCCAATTTTCCCACATCTTCTCCAGCATTTATCATTTTCCTGTTTTGTCACATTGGCCGATCTGATAGGTGTGGTGTGGTACCTCAGAATTGACATTCCTGTCTAGCTGCTGTAGCTGGCCCTCAAGTGTAGCTCTTATTCATTGGCATTGCATACCCAAGAGCATTACAGTCCTTCCTGCAGGAAGAGGTTAAGATTAACTCGTGTTTTCTGTAAAACTTGAAGGTTTACAAAATGCTTTACCAAAACAACCATGTGTGAGGTGTAGATAGTGCAAGTTTTACACTGGCAGAAATTGAGGCTCAGAGTTGAAGTGGCTTGTTTAGAATTACACAGCTAGTACATGTTGGAATCAGAACTTGAACACAAGTTCTCTGTCTCCACGTCAATTGCATTTTTCACTACATAGCACCACACGCCATCCTGTGTCATTGGAGACGTACTATGAGTTAAGTTGGGAAGGCACTGGCTGTTCGATGTTAGGAATAGATGAAGGAACAAAACACAAGCCTTGCGGAGCAGCAGGCTGTAGCTAGAGAGCTAAATCACTGACAGTGCCAAGGACCCTGTGAGGGGCACGTGGCAGGAAGAACATCAGGAGTTCTGAGGAAGAGAGGACCATGAGCTGGCATAGAGGGTGTGATTTCAAGAAGAAAAGAGGAGGAAGAAAGATGTGGGAAAAGCCATAAAGGTAGGAATTGAGGATCCATAAGTTTGACCAGTCTTGTAGAAGCAGCGGCTTTGGCTAGATATCGGCTGAGCAGCCCGCAGAGCTGGGTTCGAGGCTAAGCTCTGCTTCTAGCTAGTGATCTAGACAGACCACTTCTCAGGTTCTTTCTTCCTCTTTCAGATGAAGGGGTCAGACTAGATGATCTGAATTTCTTAACAGCTCTGACATTGCATGTTCAAAGGTCCCTTGAAGCTCTAACATTACACGTTTTAACATTCCGTGTTCTAAAGTTTTTCCCAGCCCCACCATTCTGTGGTACTGTAAGCTTTCTTCAGGGTGTCCAACTGGAAGCTTTTGGCAAAGGATGACATCCATTACTATGTTGCTACAAGGAAGTAGAAGCTCCGCATATTTCCCCATAGCAGCTATTACCATTAGCTTAGCAGTGTCCCTGCTTCTGTCCTGGCCTAAGCCAAAGGTCTCCTCGCTAGTAACTTCCCAGAAACCGTAATAATCTCTTTGCCTCTGTAGCTGCAGAACGCTCACCCGCAAACGTAAACCTAGTTGTAATATAACATACCACCTAAGCTACTGGTGATGAGGGAGGCCTGGGGGAAAGGGGGCAGGTCAGGGCTTATCTCTGCTTTTCCAGACTGGCAGCCCTGTTTGTTTATCAGGGCCAACAGAGAAAATGGCTGTGGTTGTTTCCAAGGGTGTTGTGTGAACCAATAGCTAAATATACCCACACTCCACTGCCTCTCCGCTGCATTAGAAAAACAGAGCCCATCTTTCTGGGCCCAGACCTATGCCCAGGATCCACATTCCAGGGAGAACCTGGCGTGTTTTACCCGGAATGAATTCCTGTTATCCACCTCCCCAGAAGCTGAACAGGAATGCACCAGAGCTTGAAGGGGGGGCAGGGAGGAGAGAGGAAAACATGTGAGCTTTGTTTGCTGTTGCATCAAAGCTACTGTTCTCTGCTCTCTTTGAGTGCCTGTTCCTGGACAGTATGTGCTTTGTGTCTGTGTGGGGACAAGAGCCTGTTTACTCATTAGGCCCCAGCAAGGACCTAAAACTCTCTGTAGTTCCCAGTTCAGTTCTTAGGAAGGGGCCTGCCAAGAACATAGGCATCTCTTCCTCTGGTTAAGAGATAGCCTCACTGGGATGTTGGGTACCCTCCTCTGCCCCACCAAATAACTAGGTTTTGATCCAGTGATCCTTGCTGCTCATTTGTACTTGATTTTTTTGATCCTCCCTCTAGCTGGGAAGGGGTTACAGTTGAGACCTGAATCCCTTAGGGTTTCTCTAAATAGATCGTGTGGCTTCTGCCTGGGATCCCTCATTCCCTGGGGATTAGAAAAATTATTGATGTCTTTCCCAGGAAAAGGAATCCATTTGGATCTGGCTCACCTCCAATAATGGAAAGTACTCCATTCCATTGTGGGCACTCCTTTGTAGTTGGTTCCTCAGGTCTCTTGACCAATGACCCTGACATTTCCTCCCACCCTGGATCCATTTATCTGAGTCTTGCCTTTCCTTCAGAATTCAGCTCAAGTCCTACTTCCCTGTGAAGCTTTACTTGACTATGCCAGCCAGCCATGATCATGTGGATTCATAGGATGGTAGACTTAGAGCTGGGAGGGACCATTTAGGGGTTGTCTAGTTCAAGCTCTTCATTTTATAGATGATCAAACTGTCACCTGGAGAAGTTAAGTCACTTGCCCAAGGTCACATAGATAACAATAAATGGCAGATTGAGGATTGCATCCCCGTGTTCTTTCCACGGCACCATGATGAATGGCTTTGAGAGCTAGAAAGGATCTTGGTACCTCATTTTACAGAGAAGGAAACTGAGGCCCATAGAGGTTAAATGATTTGCTCAAGGTTTTGCAAATAAGTAGTAATTGGCAGAGCTGGGCTTTGAACCCAAATCCTCCGACTCCAAGTCTGTTGCTCCTTCCGTTGTACTACACTAGCACAGATGGCCTGGATTATTAGTGATATACATATGTCCTGTGTCTCCGGCTACCTTACAAATGCTTTGATTAGGGAATGTGTCTTTTATACCTTTATATATCTCACAGTACCAAACAGAGGGCACTGCATATATAGGGCTCCATAAATGCTTGTTGGTGATGAATCAGCTCTCAAGTGTAGGCTCAGCCTCAGTGGATGAACTTGAAGCCTGGCCCCAAATTGCTCAGTGTGCCTGCTGCTCTAGGGTCCATATTAAAGAGTCAGCGCGACTGAGAATCTGGAGACCTGGAATCCTGTTGTTGCTCCATCACTGATTTGCAGTATGACTTTGAACAATCTCCTCCCCTTTGTTAGCCTCAATTTCCTTCTCTATAAAATAGCATTGAACTAGGTGCTTTTTAAAGTCCCTTCCAGCTCTTAACAGTCTGTCATCTTGTAGAAAGAGATTCTTGGATATGGGTAATCAGTCTGCTGTGTCCTCTTAGCTTGAAATCTAAATCTAAAAATTAGAAGAGACCTTAGTTTCCTAATCCAAGCCTCCATGTGATGCCCAGACCTGAGAACCCAAACGCTGGGTTTGGAGTCAAAAAGCTTGAGTTCAGTTTTTGCCTCTGCTACTTTCTACCCGTGTGATCTTGGGCAAATCCTGTCCCTTTTCCAGGCCTCAGTTTCTTCTCTTTTCAAATGATTTCTAAGATCCCTTCCACCCCTTCACATCCAGTCATCCTATGAGTATGTATGGTGGGGATCAGAGGGACGCCAAGTTATGGACCCTGCCATCAGGTATCTGCCCTGGGTTTGGAGTCAGAAGATCCTGTCATCCAGTAGCTTTGGGAAAATGCTTTAATAAATTTCTGAGGCAGATAGGTACAAGTGTAGATTAGTATAAATTGATTAAGTGCTGGGATGAGATGCAATAAAGGTACTTTTGGGGAGGGCAATCCTAGAAGACTTCCTGGAGGTGTGTGTTGAGCTAGGTTTAAGAAGGTACAGGAAGTATATTGAGGAGGAGGAGGAGCCCCTGCCTAGATTCTTAGAATTCAGGTTATTTGGAGGAGTTAGAGAGGTAGGAGGTCCAGAAGCAGTTGGCTGGGGTCATTGACTAGGATAGGGTTTGGTAGTGAGAATCTGCTTTTCCCCTTGAAGCAAAGCAAGCCATGCTCTGTCATGACTGTGCCTCCAAATCTGGTTAATTTTATGCCTTCCCACTCCATCGCACGTGCCTCCCTTGAGAGTACATCCATCAGCGGAACCACCAAACGGTTGTCTTCTGGACATAGTCCCTCCTTCCCACATGGATCTCCAACCCTATTTCCCTGGCCTACACAGCCCTTCCGTTCTTTTCCTCCTCTTTCCTCCTCCACCTAAGGTCGGTGATACTTTGCCTCCTTGAATTCTTATGTTTGTATAGCACAATGCAATCCCTTATCTCACAACTACCTTCAGGAGAGGTGGGACAGGATTATTATGCCCATTTTTAAAGAGAAAGGCAGCTTAAAATAAGTACGTGTGGACTGGGTTCTCATCTCTATCATTCTGCTAGTTTGGGACTTCAGTTTTCCCATCTGTAAAATGAGGGGGTTGGGCTAGATGATATCAAAGGTCTTTTCTAACTCAGACATTTTCTGTTTTGTGTTCTAAGGTCCTTTTCAACCCTGACATCTATTTCAGCTCTTCAGAAGCACTGACATTCTATGTGTTCTGTGAGCCCTTCCAATTTCTGACATTCTCCTTTCTCTATTCCTTCTCTTTTGTGGTCCTCTCCAGATCTTTCATTCTACTTAATGTCCTAAAGTCCTCTCTAGTTTTGATGTTCTATGTTCTTTGTGCCAACATGTTCTAAGGACCTTCTTGTTCTAGCATTCAGTGAAATGAGATACCAACACAGAGGTTAAATGACTTGCCCAGAGTCCCACTTAGTAGATGGCAGAACCCAGTTTACCCAGTCCAGTGTCCCTTTTATGATTCCATACTGAGTCTCATGATTAGTAAGTGAGTGATGTTCTCCCTGGCCTTTAGAAAACAGGCCTCTGGGCCTTTGCCCTACCCTCCTCAGTTTGGTGTTACAAGAACGACTTGGTTGCATTTCTTTATTTTGCTACTGGACTGGTGATAGGTAACTTTGTGGGCTGGGATTGGGAAATTTAAAAAAAATGGCCACTATATACTGTACACTATATTTGTGTAGCAAGAAAGTCCTTGGTCTTTCTCCTTTTTCCCAGATAGTGCTTTGGGCTCTTGTCCGGGTTGGTTTTCCCCTGACTCCTAGTTGCAACTGCCCCCAACAAATCCTTTCTCCCCCACAGGACACCTTCGTGGAGCTTTATGGGAACGATGCAGCTGCAGAGAGCCGGAAGGGCCAGGAACGCTTCAACCGATGGCTGCTGACTGGCATGACAGTGGCTGGTGTAGTCCTGCTGGGGTCCCTGTTCAGCCGGAAGTGACCATGCACTGAATCTGCCTTGGAACCTCTCTGATCCACCCACTCCAACCCATCTTGGCCTGTACTCTGTCCTGACACAGAGGAAATCTACTACATGCAGCTGATGTCTATCACATGGGGCTAAACCTGGCCTTCTTCTATGGTCCTAATCCCCTCCCCACCTCCAAGGTCCCTAGTAGTATGCAGTCTGAGACCCTTTGGGCCCTTTTTCTGTTCAATTTCTAAGTCCTCCAAAAAGAAAAAAACAAAAACATGCAACTTCTTGAACCTCTACCACACTGGGAGTGCTGGCTCCCTGGTCATGACTTCTCTCCTTCCTCAGACTTCATATAACTGGGCCCTTCCCTGAACGTGACCAAATCAAGAAGGATCAAAAAAAGCCCCCAAAACCCCAAACTTATGAAAACACCCATAGAATTTTCCAGGGGGGAAAAATAATAAATCAACTTCATTTTTATTTTTGTGTTATGAGAATGGATAATTTTACTCCCCTTGCAGTCGCTAATGTTGGGAAGGGCCAAGAAGAGGTGTTCTCAGAGCCAGGCCTCTGCATTATTGCTGAGGTCAGATTTTCCCTAAGGACTTCCTGCTTGAAGCAGGGGGTGGGTGGGTCGCTTGTGTAACCCTGTAGTTAGTTGTCACAGGTTCCAGATCACCAGGTTTGGCCAGCCTTAGGCACCTCTGCAGGCATACTGCTCCTTCTGGTACTCCAGATCATACCCCGCCCACTACCTGCAGAGGTAGCCTAGGAATCCAGTCATACGGGAAAGTGACCTTGCCCTGGCTTCCACTGTCTTGGCTGGCAAGTTGGACCAATATTTCTTGCTGGAGTTAGTGGACTTGCAGAAGGAAGGTATTGATGGGTGTCAGTTCAGCACCATATATGAGTCCTAGAACTGCGGAATAGCCCCCCTTCCCCCCCATTTAGCTCCTGCCCATTAAGAGAAAACAGGAGGTATAGAGAGAGACCCAGGAAAAGTAGCATCTGAGAGCTGTTTAGAGCTGTATTCCTTAGTCATCTTAGTTCTTGGAGATCCCAGGAGAATGTGGACCTGCCTCTCTCCTGAATCACTTTCAGTCATTGCCCTGAAAAAAAGGTGGAACTCAGACCCAAAGGTGAGGGGGGGCCCCAGGATGCCTAGCAATACCTGGGGGTGCTTACTGGGGCTCTCGGGATCCCTCCCATTTAAGGTGGCATGTTCTAGTGGAGTAAATACTGCTCCTAAGACTTAGAAGACCTGGGCCCAAATCTCAACTTCACCACGAAGGATCTGTGTGACCTTGAGCAAATCAGTCCTCTGAGCCTCAGTTTTCTCTTCTGTCAAATGAGGAGATGGGACTGGCTGATCTCTAAGATCCTGAGAGCCTGACTGTGTTTGCTTGGCGACTGAAAAAGGGGAGGGGGGAGAAGGGAAGTTCGTTCTGAGAAAGATTTGACTCCACCATACTAATTTCCCTCTCAGGCCATACCCCAAAACTCCCTCCCAGAGCTTTCAGAATTCATATTTGGGGTGCTTACTGCTTAGCCAGGGCAGGCTGTTTGTCGCTTTCCACAGCCAGCCAACCTATGACCTCTCTCATGGGTCTGAGTCTGTCATGTAAGTGGCACCACCCTACTATTAAAAATGCTTTCCTTATCCCAGTTGATGGATCAGCCAATTCCTCACCACCACCACCACCCCTTGACCCTCCCCACACCACCTTGCCCCTGTATCATAGTCTTGTCTCTGCTGTATATATTTGAGATTAGTTTTTATTCCTTGTGAAGATGATATAACTATTTTTGTTAAGCGTGTCTGTATTTATGTGAGGCTCTGCAGGGCTGCCGTGTGGTGAACGCTTGGGGAGATGGTTCCCCCTCCCCCATTTAACCCCACCCTCCCCTTCAGTCCCCCTAGGTATAGGGGAGACTGATTATTCCCCAGCCCAGGCCTAGGGGTCTTCCTTTTCCCATATCCTGGCTCTTTGAAGTAGTCTGTGTGATGGTGGAAGTGCAGTTCAACTAATAAATTGTGTTTGATTTGCTGGTAGCGAGTGCTTCTTGTGTGATGGGGGGAGTACAAAAGGGAGGTCCAGAGTGGGGGGTGGGAGAGCCACTCCCAGGGCCATGGGGATGGGCCTTGCATAGCATCATTCTCTCTTCTCTGGAATGTTTTGGGGGTTAAGGAGAGAATCACTCCCCTTTGGACCTGAATCCTAGCTCCTAACCCAGGCCTTACCTCCAGTCTCTACCCATACTTCTGTGTAAGAGAGAGGGTTCAGCTGCCCTCTTGTGCCCACTGTTGATACTGTCACATCCAGGCTCACTGGACCACAGCCTCCCCTCCTTCGGCCATTGCCTTTGCACAAACTTGAAATAATGTGGTGTAGTGAAAAGAGTGCTGAAATTGAGAACCAAGGTACTTGGGATTCAATCCTGATTTTCCTGCTAGCTACTGCTGTGGCTTTAGCTAAGCAAGTCACGTGACCTCTCTGGGCTTCACTTTTTTCATCTGTAAAAATAAAGGTTTGGATTTGTTGATCTCTAAAAGTCCCTAACTCTATGAACCGATGAGCCTTCTCAAGCAGGCCCTCTTGCTGGAATGAACAGAGGCAAATGCCACATGTTTCATCCGTCAGCCTGTCTTCATGCTATCTTATCCCATTTTCCATTGATGGCTCATTTGAATGGCTGACTGTATTAGGAGACCACGTAGTCAGTCCAACACCCTCATTTTACAAAGGAGAGAACTGACGGAGGGAAAGTAACTTGTCCAAGGTCACTGAGTCTCTAAAATTCTATGATTCTTTTTCTCCTTAGAATCTCTTCAGATCCAGCCAATTTGGTTTTCTCAACATTCCCAAGACATACCTTGAGCTTTCCTATCTCTTTGTCTACGACTCTGCCACATAAATCCAGAGTTCCCCTTGCATGGAACGTTCTCTCTCCCTCTCTGTCAAATACCAGCTCAAATCCCACTTGCTCTGAGAAACCTTCCCTGAACATCTAGCCCCTAGTGTTTGAACTCACATTCACAGGACCCTGAGCACACACAATGTTGAATTGTTGGTTATCTTGTGAATGTATCATCTCCATTAATTAAATTGTACTCTAAGAAGGCCAGGTACCAGGTTTGATATTTATTGAGGGAAAAAGGGTTCAGGAAGAGAGATGCAGGTGTAGAAGGGGAAGGAAAGGGAGTGAAGGGAATAGAGAGAAGCATCCAGTGGGAGTTAGCCCAAGAATGGGGTTGGGTGGCCACGGGCCTGTTGGCTTGGAAAGGCTGAGCCAGGAAAGTTCAGACTGGGGAGTCACTTCTTCCAGTCATTCCGAGCATAGTCCCACCGGGAAGCCAAGCCTAGAATTGGATTTCCCTTCATGTCCAATACCCGCTGCAGCTGTTTGGACTTCCAGTCCTCAGACAATGTGATGGGCTTCTCCGGAAATACTGCAAAAGGGGAGGAGTGGTTGGTACTGTTGCTCGGGGACCATCCTTACCTGATCCTCCTGTCTCAGCCACCCTAGGGCCAAGACCATATTCACAGTGTTGACCGAAATGGGAAATGACCTAGGGGTTCTCCAAGAGACCTCCAGGCTCAACTTCAAATGGGGTTAGGAGTAAGATAGGGAGGGAGAGCTTCCGTATATCTGCCTGCCCTTTCCTCTTCAGCCCCTTGGCCAGCCACATATGTTTCCAGAATATTTTCCTTTCCCTCTTACTACCATGAGAAGAAAAGAGCAGTGGGCTGGGAGTTCAGAAACCTGGGTTCTACTCCTGACTCTACCACTCACTGTGACACCTACTAGCTCTAATATTCTGTGTTGTAAGGTTCTATCCAGTGTGGGGATTCTATGTTCAAAGGCTGTGGTTCCCGATCATTGCTGGTAATTGGAGTTAACTGCAGGGGGCCTGCAAATACACAAATAACACGAACATGCTTTCTGTAGGCTGAATATTTCAAACAATTATTTTCCAAATGTCTATAGTTGACATTGTATTTAATAAAATAGAAATTCATTTAAACTGCTGCTGATTTTTATTCATCTTTATATTATGATTTTTTTTATCATGTATTTTCTCAGTCAATGGAATTAATGGAATTACTATCATGTGGGGATGCATGATATTTTCGGACATTAAAAAAGAGTCCTCATACTTGGAAAATTTGACATTTAGGTGGCACAGTGGATAGAGTGCTGGGCCTGGAGTCAGGAAGACCTGTGTTCAAATTCGGCCTCAGGCACTTAACTGTGTGACCATTTAACCTCTGACTCAGTTTCCTCTACTGTAAAATGGGGATAATAATAGTGACTAACTTTCAGAGTTGTTGTGTGGATCACATGAAATAATATTTGTTTAGCACTTAGCATAGCAGCTGCCTGACACAGTAGGCATTTAATAAATGCTTATTCCCTTTCTTCCTAAAGTCCTGCTTTGACATTCTATGTTCTAAAAACTTCCATCAATACTATGAACCAATGACTTGCCCATCCACCTCTAAAGCCTGGGTATTAAACTGTTTTCTGGGCAAGGGGAAGGGAATGGGTTGAAGCTCTTGTAAAATACTTCTAATGTCTAAGGATAAATCCCTATTTTCAAAAACACTCCTCTCCCCACTCCATCTATCTTAATCTGTGGCTTTAGACAAATTGACTAAAACCTCCCCATAGCTATGCCTTGCTGGCCTGAAAGAAGGTCCCAGAGGGTAGGTGGCGGGAAAGTAAAAACTGTCATTCACCACACTGCGTCCCTGTCTAACCAGCCACTCACCATATAGCCGCTGCCACCATATCAGGATTCCAGTGAAGCCAAAGAAAAAGAAGACTCCCCCCAACACCGTCTTCCATTCATTGGATGGTCGGTTCATCTCTGCAAAGGTCTGATGGAACTGCATTCGATAAACTGGGACCAAAGAGGTAAGGGTGGTCCTCAGGGCTCTGCATATCCCTGAGGGCCACTCCTCTAACCCACGGCCAAGGGAGTAGAGGTCAGGGAGCCTCCATCATGGCTCCTTCCATTCCCCTCTTCTCTGAGTTATCCAGGGGGGATCCCCCTAAGGCAGGTAGGTACCTCTGCCTGTCTTCTGCTCTACCAATTTTCTCAGTCCCTCAAACATGATGTACTACCTCTTCCCTCTTTACCTTTAAATCCTCTCCATCCTTAAAGGCTTACAACCTGCCTCCTCTGAGAAGCCTTCCCTGACTACCCAGGCCCAAGAGGATCTATCCTTCCCTGCAGCTCCTACAACTCTCACTGTCCTAAAGCCTCTCATTCAGCTGTAAGTGTAGATGTCCTGATTTCTAGCTCTCTTCCCCTCTCTCCTTTCTGATGGCAAGGATATCTCTGTATCTTTATAGAGGCAGAGGGTTGGGTCCAGGTAGCCATTCTGGAATGAGAGAAGTGGCAGACAAAGACTGCTGGATTTAGAGCCAGAGAAAGACCTAGGTTTGAATCCCAGCTGTACTATTTATTGTAT